AGCTGCAGTGTTTGTAACAGCGAACTTAAGCTTGGAATGATCTTCAATTATAAAATAAAGGCCAAACACATTTATCATAGTGAATTGTGGAACAGAGTTCAAACACCCACAGCAGTTGAGATTAGGAGGGTTTTCTATTTAGTGAATAATTTATGTGAGTTATTTTACATTTATTTTACATGGAAACATAAGGAATTACCTTTTTGTTGATTAAAACCCAACAAAGCAATGGCACTTTCCAGTTTAACAGTAATCTGGCAGTATTCTGATTATTTATTTATTTATTTATTTATTTATTTATTTATTTATTTATTGGTGAGGAATGGCAATGGTTTTCATTTTAACACAACCCTTGTTACTGTTTCCGTTTTGAGGCAGGGTCTTGCTAAGCCATATAAACTGGTATGGAATTCCCTTTGTAGCCCCTGGTGTCTTTCAGCTCGTTGTTTCTTTTCCTCAGTCTCCCAGTGGCTGGGATTACACACCCAGATTCAGTACAGCTTTGAAAAGGCTGTGCTACTAATGTGTTGTCACTCTCTGGTTCTTCTTTGTTGTTATGGTGAAGTGCCATCCCCTTTGTTACATTTCATTCAAGTCTTATTGAATCATCTTCTTTCTTCCCATGGGCTTTATATAATATTCAGCACATAGTTGATACTCAATAAATGCTCATTGACTAGTTCTCATGAGGCAGCTTGGATTAGGAAAATACTGCTGGTGGAAAAAAAGCTAATATTTTTTTGGAGTGCAATGAGTTGTCAAATTGTCTAATAAAGGCTAACGATGTTTTTGCTGCATTGTTTGTCAAGGCCACTTGGACGTTGTGGCACTGCTTATTAACCATGGCGCTGAGGTCACCTGCAAGGACAAGAAGGGTTACACGCCCCTGCATGCTGCAGCCTCCAATGGGCAGATCAACGTGGTCAAACATCTCTTGAACCTGGGGGTAGAGGTAAGCTCTGATGGCTGTGCTACTGCCTGGTTCATGCCTTTTTTGGGTTTTCTAAAATGAAATCCTGTTTGCATTTTTATTCAAGTGGAGAAAAACTTATTTCATTGAGTCCTGTATTTCTTACTTGTGGGCTGATAAATTGTGATAGAGGCATTGATTAAATAGCAGGAAACTAGAAACAGACTATATATATTGAGAAATATCTAAACATTCTATATATGCACACATATACCATACGCACACACAATCTTTAAAAAAATTTTTTTTTTGAGATAGGGTTTCTCTGTGTGACATTGGCTGACCTGGAAACTTGCTCTGTAGACCAGGCTGGCCTCTCGTGGCTCATAGCCCAAGAGGATGAATGGATGCCAGTGATTGAACAATGAACTTTGGTGTTGAGCTACAGTTGGCCAGTTCCATTCTCCTACAGTCAGGAGCAGTAATACTCAGGATATCTTATCCTTGGAGGAGAGGAGAACCCAGTGCTGTGTGAGACCTGGATGGTGACACCCAGACCCTTGGCAGGTCTGGGAAAGCAGTAGGGAGCTGTGGACTAACACACCCCAGTTCCGCGGGCAGATCAGCCTGGAGAGGTGTCAGGCTCCAGAGTAAAAACAATTGATTCTCAGCTTGACTGGAAGGCACAGGATCCGCAAGTCACCTCTTTTGCTAACCCTGACCTGTTCATGAGCCCATGACTTTGGGGTTTGCTCCTTTCTTTTCTGATATTTTGAAAGTGTCTTTGCCTTGGGTCTTACTCTAACAGGGAACACCCCCTCCACAGGCTGAAATGTCTAATGCTTCCTGGGTCATTTTCTGTCATATTCAATTTTGCCTGTCTTTTCCAGGGTTGGGGAGGGGATTGACAGGGGCTTTCAGGATACCTACCGGGGAGCAAGTGAGCTCTGAATAATTATGCTGCTGGGTGGATATTTCTGTTCTCCTGACAGAGCCTTTAGGCCTTTTGTGGCAAATGGAGTAAATTGGCTCCAGTGATTTTAATTGCACCGTGTTGGATGCTTTGCAGGTTGATGAAATCAATGTCTACGGAAACACAGCACTGCACATTGCCTGCTACAACGGCCAAGACGCTGTCGTTAATGAGCTCATCGACTATGGTGCTAATGTGAACCAGCCCAACAACAGTGGCTTCACCCCTCTGCATTTCGCAGCAGCGTCCACTCATGGTGCTCTGTGTCTGGAATTGTTAGTAAACAATGGGGCCGATGTGAACATTCAGGTATGGTACTCAGTCTCTCTGCCTTAAACACCTTTGCACTGGCGCTTTGTGCTAAATTGATGCTGTGCTTTTGTGAATGGGAAGCACATTGATTCATATATCATCATCCTGGATTGAGATGCTGTGGAACTCGCTGGGTTGCCTCTCCAGGTATGATGATGCCAGCATGTAGGCACCAAGGCTCCAATCCTTTCTCCTTATTTTTTATTAATTAAATTTATTCATTTATTTTTACCTCCTGATCTCAGTTTCCTCTCCCTCCTTTCCTCCTGTGGGCATCCATGTGTCTTTCAAAGGAAGGAAGATGATGGGTGTTAGGTAAAAGTGCCTTCTTTGCAACCCTGCACTTAATAAACTCACAGGTTGAAACCCTCTGATTTTGATCAGTGGGCATGTTGTTTTTAAATACAAATGAAGCACTTTTCCATTCTGAGAAAGAAAAAGTAGCTATAGCAGACCTACAAATGGGATGCCTTCACAATAATTGAAAGTCTGCAAAACTGGTCTAGGTTTTGAGTCATGAAGATGAAGAATGGGAGGGACTGTTGGAGAGAGAAACTTTGCAGAGAGAGAATCAGCAAAGGTTGGTAAGACAAGAGAGAGGAGCTGAAGATGAGGAATGGAATCCAGGGAAAGGGAAGTGGCACTGTAGAGTGGTAACATGCTTTGATCTGGGGCTAGACTGCCTTAACTTTAGATAGATCAGTCAATTCTAGCATTGACTTCAGATAACTAAACAAAAGCAGCTTGTCTGTGCCCCAGTTACTTTATTTGCAAAGTTAGGGAAATGGTAGCATTGTCTTGATGGTCATGTTGTAAAGATTAAACATAGTTGTTATACCAAAATTATATAGATCAAAATTTGGCATACAATAAGCACCTGATATTGTTCATATTCATTGGGAGGATGCCAGGAGCAAGAGTGGGCATAGACGGTAAATGGATGTACTTAGATTATTATTATTATTATTATTATTATTATTATTATTATTATGTGTGTGATAGTACACATGCATGTGGAGGTCAGAGGACAACTTGTAGGAGTTAGCTCTCTTCTATTTCCATGTGGATTAGTGTGTGATAGCACACATGCATGTGGAGATCAGAGGACAACTTGTAGGAGTTAGCTCTCTTCTATTTCCATGTGGATTATGGGAATTGAATTTAGGTACCCTGGGTTGACAGCAAGAACCCTTACCCACTGAGCCACCCACTAGGCTCTACATTTAATTTTTGAGAAAGTGATGTCGAGCCAGCCTGAGGACACAGTGGTGGAAAATGTGATATGCTAGCATGGAAGAGCAGTGAAGAGTATGAAAAATTAGTACTTAGGTTGCTTCAGTCACCGAAAGGTGACAGGAAAGAGTGGAGTCATTCCAGGAGAGCGTACATACTAGTGTGAGTGGAGAAGGCAAGGGAGGACTCCAGGACTTGCCTCTTAGGGTCCAGAGAAGTTCGACCCAGAGCAGAGGATGAGGAATAGGCAGGAAATGGAAGAAAGAACTGAAGGGAATTTGTTATCTTCATGAATATCAGACTCATGCAGAAAGGAAAAATAAATGGAAAGAGAGCGTTTCAGAGTCCCTCATGCTAAACATGGTCACCAGGAGTCCCAGAAGAGGTGAAAAGGAGGCCTGTGGAAACATGGAGGAGACCAAGGAGACACAGGCCAATGTGACAAAGGTTTTGTGTGGGGTGGAAGTCACAGAGCATGATAGTCATGGGGAGCAAGAAGCACACAAGTGGCCAAATGACCAACATCTCTAGGACTGTGGATTTCTGTGGTTCTTTCAATGAAGGTGATGGACATTAGATAAAGGCACTATCTTTGCCACCCTCCACTTAACTCACAGGCTGTCTGGGGCTCCATCCCAGTGCTCTCAGTGTGCCTGATGCCCAGAGCTCAAAAGCCACTTCCTGCCATACCTCCCTGCTTCTTCCAACTTGGTTGCCCAGTGGTCAGTTCAAATTAGATAATGGACTTAGACCATTAATATTGAGGGAAATTAAGGACCTTTGAGTGCTTATTCTTGTTTGCTTTTGATTTGTTGTTGGTAGTGGTATTGTATGTGGATTTACCCTGCTTTTTCTTTTGGGTTTTGGTAAAGTGGGTTTGTCTATTGCCTATGTTTTTCTGAATGTAGTTAATTTCCTTGGAGTTTTCCTTCCACTACTTTCTGTAGGGCTAGATTAGTGGTTACATATTATTTAAATCTGGTTTTGTTGTGGAATATCTTGTGACATACATGGTCCCCTGGAGAAGGGGAAAGGGACAAGATCTGAGCAAATTGGGAGCATGGGAGGAGGGAACTAGGAGAATGAGAAGGGGAGAAGAGGAGGGATGAGGAGGACATGATGGGGCAGGGAGGTTTAGTTGGGGGAAGAACAGAAGAGAGCAAGATAAGAGATACTATAATAGAGGGAGACATTTTAGGTTTACAGAGAAATCAGGCACTAGGGAAATGTCTGGAGATCTACAAAGATGACACCAACTAACAATCTAAGCAATAGAGGACAGGCTACCTTAAATGCTCTTCCCTGATAATGAGGTTGATGACTGACTTATACGCCATCCTATAGCCTTTATCTAGCAGTTGGTGGAAGTAGAAGCAGACACCCACAACTAATCACTAAACTGAACTGGAATCCAGTTGCAGAGAAGGATGAGTGATGAGCAAAAAGTCCAGACCAGGCTGGTGAAACCCACAGAAACAGCTGACCTGAACATCGGGGAGCTCTTGGTCCCCAGACTGATAGCTGGGATACCAGCATGGGACTGATCCAGACCCCAAGAATGTGGGTTTCAGTGAGGAGACCTCGGAAATCTACAGGACCTCCTGTAGTAGTTCAGTACTTACCCCTAGCGTAGGTGTGGACTTTGGGAGCCCATTCTACATAGAGGGATACTCCCTGAGCCAAGACACACGGGGTGGCTTGGCCCTATCCCAAAGGATACAATAGACTCTGATGACACCCTATGGAAACCAACATCTCTAGGACTGTGGATTTCTGTGGTTCTTTCAAGGAAGGTGATGGACATTAGATAAAGGCACTATCTTTGCAACCCTCCACTTAACTCACAGGCTGTCTGGGGCTCCATCCCAGTGCTCTCAGTGTGCCTGATGCCCAGAGCTCAAAAGCCACTTCCTGCCATACCTCCCTGCTTCTTCCAACTTGGTTGCCCAGTGGTCAGTTCAAATTAGATAATGGACTTAGACCATTAATATTGAGGGAAATTAAGGACCTTTGAGTGCTTATTCTTGTTTGCTTTTGATTTGTTGTTGGTAGTGGTATTGTATGTGGATTTACCCTGCTTTTTCTTTTGGGTTTTGGTAAAGTGGGTTTGTCTATTGCCTATGTTTTTCTGAGTGTAGTTAATTTCCTTGGAGTTTTCCTTCCACTACTTTCTGTGGTTACATATTATTTAAATCTGGTTTTGTTGTGGAATATCTTGTGACATACATGGTCCCCTGGAGAAGGGGAAAGGGACAAGATCTGAGCAAATTGGGAGCATGGGAGGAGGGAACTAGGAGAATGAGAAGGGGAGAAGAGGAGGGATGAGGAGGACATGATGGGGCAGGGAGGTTTAGTTGGGGGAAGAACAGAAGAGAGCAAGATAAGAGATACTATAATAGAGGGAGACATTTTAGGTTTACAGAGAAATCAGGCACTAGGGAAATGTCTGGAGATCTACAAAGATGACACCAACTAACAATCTAAGCAATAGAGGACAGGCTACCTTAAATGCTCTTCCCTGATAATGAGGTTGATGACTGACTTATACGCCATCCTATAGCCTTTATCTAGCAGTTGGTGGAAGTAGAAGCAGACACCCACAACTAATCACTAAACTGAACTGGAATCCAGTTGCAGAGAAGGATGAGTGATGAGCAAAAAGTCCAGACCAGGCTGGTGAAACCCACAGAAACAGCTGACCTGAACATCGGGGAGCTCTTGGTCCCCAGACTGATAGCTGGGATACCAGCATGGGACTGATCCAGACCCCAAGAATGTGGGTTTCAGTGAGGAGACCTCGGAAATCTACAGGACCTCCTG